ATCATATTTTATATATTCTATTAATATGTTACCTTATTTAAATTATTCCCCCAGCCATATGGTTGATTATGTTTTTCCAAAAACAAAAATAGTTTATATGTAAAGTCTCTTTGTTTTGAAAATTAAACAAAATTAGTAATTGAAAAAATTTTACTAGCGATATTGGGAAATTTATTTAGATGTACTTTAAAAGGGATTTTATTACACATAACTTATTACAAAATATATTTTTAATTGTTTATAAAAATAAAACAAATTATTAAAGACTGACAAGGAAAAAAGTTCTTGGAGAACTTAAAGTAAAATTTAACTATATTTACTTCAATTAAAAACATATTTAAATTTAATTTTTTGGAAAAATGTTACTACTATACTCCCTTAAGGTTATTTTATTTTTAATTAAAAAATTTAATTTTTTGAAAAAATGTTAATACTATACTCCCTTAAGGTTATTTTATTTTTAATTAAAAAATGTACGATTTCCTTCATAATTTTCAATTCTGTCAACATGACTTTTATTAAAATTTTGACTATTTTTTAATTAGACTCATTATTTAAAAAATTAATAACATACCTCCTTTGTCACATGCAATATACTTTTAAGTAATATTATAATATTTTATGAATTTAATTTTAATTTATCGTTAATATAAAAATTAACCTTTAAATCAATTATAAAAAAATATATTATAATTCTTATATGATAACACATGATTGAATGATAATATGAAAAATATTTTTATGATAAAAAATTTTATTTAATTATTTATTACTTATCTAATATTTAAAAATCAAAATTTAATATTAAAATGTTTTATTTTTATAAATATAGTTAATTTAAATTTTTTATTTTTTGAACAAATGATATATTGTATTTATTTATTATTAAAAAATATACGATTTCTTTCATGATATTCTATTCTTGTCAACATAATTTTTTTAAAATTTTTTACTAATTTTTTTTAGTAAAACTTGTTATTTTAAATTCGATCATTATAGAATTAATTAGATTAAATTTAAAGATAGAAATACTAAATTCTTTTATAAAATTGTCATTCTTTATATGAAATGAAACTCTATCAAGACTCTAAGAGATAATCTAAATAATTGGAAATATGATCCCTTAAAACTTAAACATACTGTTTTCAATTTTTTTTGTGAACCTTTATTCTGATAACAATTTTAACAAATCATTTTTTAATATTGTTAATTTTTTTCTCCTATTAAGAAATATGATAAATCTAAATTAAACTCTGAGTTAACTCTTAAAGAAATCAAAATTTCCTTGTTTAGCAAAGAAAACTTTAAATCTTCTAGTTTAGGTGACTTCTATGCTTTATTTTTTAAAATTTAATGAGACTTTTTGAACCTTTCATTCATAAATTCATTTTAAATATTTATAGAAATCCTAAACAAATTACTAAAGTTAATGAAACTGCCATTACTCTTATTCCTAAATCTGAAAGCCCCGAGTCCATTAAGAATTTTAGATCCATATTCTTTTGTAACGTGAGTTATAAAATTATCACCAAACTTATAGCTAATAGGATTAGAGAATCCCTACTTTACCTAATTTTCCCCAACCAATCCACTTTTATTTCTGGCAAGTAAGGCATCAACAATTCTCTTATTTTTCAAGAAATTCTGTATTCCTTCTATAATTTTTAAAGGAAAATTTGATTATATAATCTTTAAATTAGACCTTGAAAAAACTTATGATAGACTAAATTAAAATTTTATTAGAGATACCCTTCAAAAAGTTAGTCTAAACCCTAAGCTTACTGAGTTTATTTACCATTATGTATTTACTACCTCAATGTATATCAATTGGAATAGTTCTAGGATTGAGAAGTTCAAACCTTCTAGGGGTATTAGATAGAGGGATCCTATTTCTTCTTACATTTTTGTCTTATACATTGAAAGGTTAACTAATTTACTCTAAGACAAAACCCTAAGTAAGGAGTGGTCTCCTTTTACCTTTAGCAGTTCTAAGTCCTGGAATTTCTCAAATTTGTCCTCAATGAGTTATGTTATGCTTCTGGACCTAAAATTAATAATACTAAATCCTCTCTATTTTGTCATAGGAAAACTATTTACATGTTAGTTAAGGATATTAGTGAGAGTCTTGGAATCAAACACTCCATCCAATTTAGGAATTACCTTGGGATCCCTGTTTGCCACCATAAGCCTTCTAGACAAGACTTTGGTTTTATAGTATATTAAGAAAAAACTCTCCATTTTGGAAGATGAATTTCCTTTCTATATCTGGTATAGTCACCTTCGCCCAATCCAGCCTTATGAGCATTTCATCTTATATTATGCAATCTCTTTTGCTCCTCAATTTTATTTGTAAAAAGATAAATAATATTTGTAAAAGATTTATTTGGAATTCCTTACAGAGTACGAAGTGTCACCTTATTGACTAAGATAAATTCTGGAGGCCCAAGACTGATGGTGCCCTTAGGTTCAGGGATATGAAAATTTTTTGGTGGATGATGTCTTCCCCCAATGATTTTGGGCTCAAGTCATTAGCAGCAAATATAAATTTTTTATTCGTAAAAGTCCTTATGCTATTAATTTTCATAATTTTTCCTACTTATGAAAGAGTGATTTGTCTGTTTGGGATATTTTTTTCAAATGGTTGGGGTGAATTATTGGGGATGGCCTATTTGCTAAATTTTGGAATGATAGATGGATTACTAACCTTCAATCTTTATCTCACTATGCTCTACAGTCTATTTATGTTGATAATCTTAATGATCTTATTGTTCTGTTCTCATCTCAGAATGATTGGGACTGAGCTAGGATAAAAAAATATATTTCTTGCACCTATCTATGATCATATTGTCCAAATTAAACCCCCTAGTAATTTAGGGGGTATGATGTGTTTTATTGGTGTTATGCTAATAATGAGATTTTTTCTATTAAATCTACTTATAATTTGATCACTACATCTGAATCTAAAAAATGTTGCCTGTAATGATATTTTTAAGCTTGTTTGAAAATGGGAAGGCACTCCTAAAGTAGCCTTATTTCCTTGGTAGACAACGCATGGTAGGTTACTTACTAATTACGAGCGTTGTAAGAGGGGCATGGCCAATTCGTCTATCTATTTTAGATGTAGTAATGCTCCTAAATCTGTGTCCATGTCTTCAGAGATTGTTGACATACTAAGTAAGTTTGGAAACAACTTATTAGACCCAATAATTGGGCCTGTTTTTTTTAGTGTAGATCTCTCTGATCAGATGACTTATAATTTGTCTAAAACTGATCTTAATGATTTTTCTTGCTCGAATTTGTTGTTTGGGGTTATCATATGGCATTTATGGAAAAATAGAAATTATGAAATTTTTTAAAACTCAGCTGTCATGCCTGATGTTTTAATCAACAAGATTATGTGTGATTTTGAGTATCTTCTTTCTTGCTATAGGAATATCTCTAAATCTAGTTCTATTTTCATAAGCAACCATAGTAAAATGAGATGGTACCCTCCGTTGTAACTTAGTTTAAATTGAACGTGGATGACTCTGCTTCTAATTCTAGTCTAGCTGCTTGATATGAAGGCTTGATTGGAGATGCTAAAGATAATTTTGTTGCTGGTTCTTAGAGTAGCTTGGAGCTATGTTCCCTTTTAGTTGCTAAGATTTGGATCATTTTCTAGGGGATCAAACTTGTGTTGTTGAAAGACATTGAGCTATTTGGGTAGAAAGTAATTCCAAAAAAGCAATCTCTTTGATTTAGGATGTTCAAAATTGTAATCATCCTCTTTTCTCATTGATAAATAATGTTAGATCCTTACTAAAAAATATAAAATTTATTAAGTTTAGTCACTCCTTTAGGAAGGCTAACGAAAATTCTGATAGGCTAGCCAAATTTGATTTAAAGGATTGTTTGCACTATTTTCATTTTGATACAATTAACTTGATTATGGTATTCTTTTTTAAAATTAGATACTTTGAGCTGTTAGCTCCTTAGATTATATTTGGAAGTTGTGTTTAAGAGGGAAGAGGAGTTAAAATAGATTAATCCTTGTTTGAGAGTTGCTTAATTAGGAGTGAAAGAGTTTAAATATTTTTCTAAACCTTCCAAAATCTTTGAAAATTTTTGAGTTTTTCTCCTATTCTTTCATGATTAGGATTTTAACTTTTTCTTTTAAATGTTAGTTTTTCAAATGATGATTTTTTAAAAATTTATAAAAAATAAAAATATTAATTTTAAAATTATTAATTTTTAGAGAATATTTTTTTTATTTTTTATAAAAATAAAAAAATATAAATAAAAAATATAAAATATAATAATATCATTTATATAATTAAACTTATTAATTTTTTTTATCTTTTAGTATTAAACATCTAAATAAAGAGAAGTCTAACCTTTTTACTTCTCTGTTTTCTTTTTTCTTCAAATTCTTTTTGTTTCTTTTTTTTTGAATTATCAAACAAAATTTTAGAAGAGCAGTGTAATTATTTGAGTTTGTTTAATCCTATTTATTAAAATAATAATTTATAAAAATTAAAACTAACAAAATAATTAAAAAAATTAATTTAATTATATTTATGAAAATTAAAAACATTGAAGTGTTGATTTTCTTAACTGGTGGGCAGGTTTAGGATGTTCTTTTTATCGGTCTCGTCAATTGTGGCGTGCCATTACCCCAACACGCCCAAAGCTAACCCCCTCGCGTGGGTATGAAATTTTTCAAGCCATTATGCCTATACTTTTCTCTTAGAGGACTTGTATTTTACACTTTTTTTAAATAAAAATATAATTAATATTCATTAAAAAAAAACTAGTTTTTAATTTAAAAACACAAAAAGTATTTACTCATATAATTTTTAATATTCATATTTAAAAGAAATACTATTTATTAATTGAACACAGATTGACAAATTTATAAATATATATATGTATTCTATTTATATATTTATTTGACACTTAAAAAATGGATCGTCAACGGATGATTACTCCGTCTCCACTGAACCCCTTCCATTCCACCCTTTTCTCTACCACCTAACTTTTCAGTTTCATCTTCCACAGAGTTCCACTTAACACCATAGCCATAAACACACAACCACCATCGTTTCAACAAAATGGAGAATTCGACCCAAGAATCCCAAAACTCGGTGACCTACGAATCCCCATATCCAATATACGCAATAGCGTTCTCACAATCACAATCGCACCCTCAACGCCTCGCCCTCGGAAGCTTCATTGAAGAATACACAAACCGCGTCCACATCCTCTCCTTCAACCCCGACACCCTCTCCCTCAACCCTCACCCTTCTCTCTCCTTCGACCACCCTTACCCTCCCACCAAACTCATGTTCCACCCTTCTCCTTCCCCACCCTCCTCCAACCACCTCCTCGCCACCTCCGGTGACTACCTCCGCCTCTGGGAAGTCCGCGAATCCTCCGTCGATGCCCTCTCCCTCTTCAACAACAGCAAAACCAGCGAGTTCTGCGCCCCTCTCACCTCCTTCGACTGGAACGACGTCGACCCCAACCGCATCGCCACCTCCAGCATCGACACCACTTGCACTGTCTGGGACATTGAACGCGCTGTCGTCGAGACCCAACTCATCGCCCACGACAAAGAGGTGTACGACATCGCGTGGGGCCAAGCCAGAGTTTTTGCCTCTGTTTCCGCTGATGGGTCTGTTAGGATCTTCGATTTGAGAGACAAGGAACACTCCACCATTATCTACGAGAGCCCTCACCCTGATACCCCTTTGCTTCGTTTGGCTTGGAACAAACAGGACTTGAGGTACATGGCTACTATTTTGATGGATAGTAATAAAGTTGTGATTTTGGATATTAGATCGCCCACTACACCTGTGGCTGAGTTAGAGAGGCATCGTGGGGGCGTTAATGCTATTGCTTGGGCTCCTCATAGTTCTAGGCATATTTCTTCTGCTGGGGATGATACACATGCTCTTATTTGGGAGTTGCCTACTATGGCTGGTCCTAATGGCATTGATCCCATTTGCATGTATTCTGCTGCCTCTGAAATTAACCAGTTGCAGTGGTCTTCGGCTCAGCCTGATTGGATGGCCATTGCTTTTGCTAACAAGATGCAGCTTTTGAAAGTTTGAGGTCTGCTATTGATACCATTCTAAGCCTTCTTTTCCTCATCTTCAATTTCAGTTCTTAGATTTTTTTTTAGCTTCTGTATGGGAATCAGTTAGTACTGTACTGTAATGTTGTGGTTATAGAACACACTAGTTTGTCTTCGCGTTTTGCTTGTAGGGGAATTGATGTTGCATTTGCTGTTGAAGATGGAATTGAATTGACCAATTTAGTCTTGTAATTTTTACTCCTCCAGATGATAGAGTAAAATGTTCACTGTCTGTTCCCATTTTATTGTGTTATGCAACGCCTTGATCCTGTTAGTAGTATGCATCGGTTTGTCATTATGACCATATGCCTATCATTATTTTGCTAATGCCTTTGTAACATTCCTAGACCAGCACAAACTTGTCAGTATTTGAACTTGCTTAATTGAAGGTGAAGATCACCTTTGACAATTGCATGTTAACTTTGTATCTCTTCCCAATGACTTGTTGTCTCGTTAAGAGTAGGGCACTTGTTGATGTTCATTTGGTATATCTTTTCAGCTCGCTGTCTCTGCATTTCAAGTGAAAAAGAAAATGTTAGGTAGTCTTGTTATTAAATTTTCAAAAGATTTAATTCAGGTTTCTGTTTGGATGGATCAATTTTAATGATAAATTCCTGAATTGTTTCTTCTTTGGACATCACTTTGTTATCACATATAGCAATTCTGTTTTTTAACCGGCTTCCCACCAAATGTGTGCTCCTCTTCCTTCTTCCTTTCCCTTTGCCTTCAGCTTTTAATGATTTTGGTAGCCTTTAAGGCAATTGTCCTGGTCTTCAAGATTTTAATTTTTTTAATCGTATCTGCGGATCATGTGGTTTACATGAGCAGTCACATAACTTCCCATCATGAAGGCTAAACATAATTCTTGGTGCATTTAAACATCATATTTCTTTTCCCAATATGCTTGAAAATGCTGACTATTGTGTATGATGAATATACTTATGGCATTTTGAAGTAACAATACGCGGATCAAAAGTCCCATTGATGAATGTAATTTTCAACTACACTTCGTGACTGTTTTTGGCTGATGTCTCTGCTACTCATAAGTAACAAGATAGTGAACCTCATGACTTCAATCAAGTTGAAGTTTTCTGCGATCAATTTTAGGATTGGATGTGTGGTTATAAGTTGGCTCACGTAATGCATTTATCATTTTACTTAGAAGCAAACTTATAAACATATTTTTGTACACCCTACTTACATGAGAGCTTAGTCATTCCTTTTCTGCTGATATTTCCCTTGTGTGACTAAAGAATAATGTTTCCTTTACAGAAATCCATCCTGAAGGATGTTTGCGTATTTAAAGAATTGTTACTGATTTCTATTTCCTCCATGTCAATGATAAATAATGTTTCTGCTAGGTAATTCTGGAATATTTAATTGGTGCTGCTGAGATTCTGGTGTAGGGCAAAGTAACTTTTATTGCCTCCACCATTTTCATGTTGAATATCCAGTTTCTTGGAGTTGGGACTATATTAAATTAAGGCAAAGTACAAGGGAGTTAAACACATTTTTTTGAAGAATCATCTATTAACCCACGTGTCTCTTACTTGCAGGATTATTAGTGGCTTATGACTTGCCAATTTTTTTACTTGTTTTATATCAAAGAGACTTCCTTTGTTTTTTTTTTTTAAAAAAAAAGAGATTTGCTTTGCTATAAGTTTCTTTTATCCCTTGCTTTGTCCCTTTGTGGCGGCTTTTTCTTGTCTACTTGTGATCTATAAGATAAAAGTAAATTATAACGTTAGTTGTGTAACTGTGTGAATCATAACAGCTTATGCGTAGCTTTAATATTTTTTACGGCAAATAAAGGATTGATCAAAGGACTTTATCATTTCTAAAGATAAATTAAATGATTTTATTAAATTATGATATAGAAGCTGTACTCATCACCACAGATTTAATGATTTTATTAACATCATCTCTTATTATTAATTTTAAATTTTAAAAAATAAAATTTGTTAAAAAAAGAATTCTATTTGTTATATCAACTCCAAAAATTTATGTTAGCATTTTTCTAAATTAAAAGAATATTAAACAACGTTGCATGAATCTTACTGCTGAAATGTATTTCTCCAAACTTAATTTGACGAGTTTATAATTTAGAAATCTGACTTTACTAAAGAGCTTGTTTATGTACGCATCTGAACGGTATTTATGGGATTCTCAAGGCACAAGAATGGAGTTTTGTCCAAAAGAAATTTACCTTCTCTCAAGGACGCTCTTCAAGACATAAAAAAACATGCTAATCAGTTTAACTTTCATGGGGATTCCAAGTCGATGTTTGATACTATATTTATTCTGACCAGAGAAGAATTAGCCACGTATTAAGAAACTCTTCGTTTTCAAATGTTAATGATGTGAATCACTGGATCAGGATCGAAGCATGGAGGGGACAGCACGTAAACGTTTTAAGTTATTAATTAGAATTAAAATAGCAAAGGTTTCCGTGATAGTGTGATTAGATCGAAAAGAATCACAGCACACTTCATGTGGATAAACATATAATGTTCTTTGATATCCCTTGTACCAATTTTTCAAAACTAATTTCATGGCGACTTCATTTAGTAGTATATGATATACAAAGTGCTAAATCATTAATTTCATAATAAACGTTAAAAATTTTATTGCAAATGATTAGTAACTAATAAAATACTTGATGATAAATAGAGTAAAGCTCACCACTTATATTATTAAAAATTTGCCAATTTTAGTAGAAGATCAGTGAGGAAGTATGAACCCTATTGACAGGACCCATATACTATTGGGCCTGTGAATATGCATGGCACTACTTAGGGCTGCAGTCCAAGTAGAGCAAAAGGGTGGGACCAGAATGAGAATTGAGAACCACAGAGGCGCAGCACAGTGAATGAAGCAGAGGGAGGCCACGTAACAAAGAAAGAGAAGACCCACAAAACAGAACAAGTAAAAACAAAAAGAAAAGGAGAATATAAAGAACAACCAAAGAATTATCATATCAAAATACAATTTACAAAACCACACCTCTAATTCGTTTTCCACAAAAACCCGTCCCTTTCTTCCAACCATGGACCTCCCCAACACCACACGCCCCCCACTTCCGCCGCATCACCAAAACCACAACACCCACCCCGAAAATCACCGCCACGGCTGAAATGTCCCCACCGCCGCCGCCACAACCGCTGACCAATCTCCCCTCCTTGCCGGATCTCCTCCTCACAGCCCTCTCCGTATGCTTCCTCTTCACATCCTCTAAGTCCCACATCGCTTCCACCAACTGTCCCTTCCTCTCTTTCCCTCTTAACCCTCGGCGTTTCCTCAAAATCCCCGCTATGTCCCACACCGCAACCCCAACAACATCGATATCATCGAACCCTAACAAGCTTAACCTTAATCTTCTGCCTCCTCGCCGCCATAACTTCGCTTCCCCACAATCTCTCTCCGATTGGCTCAAACCTCGTTTACCCTCTGACTCCTTCGCTTCATGGGGGGTCAAGCCAGGCACCAAGAACGTGCACAATCTCTGGCTCGAGCTCTCAGAAGGTGAAACCTCCCTCGCCGATTCAACCCCTCCGGTTCGAACTGTTCAGGTTCTTTCGGTTCGGATAACCGGAAAGGACGGTAAATTCTTAGTGGAGTCGCACCAGGAGTTGTCTGACGGTAACGTGAGACAGCGGGGAAGACCCTTATCGGAGAAGATGAAGCCGAACGAGGTTCCTGAATCTGCTGCTGTTAGGGCCATCAGGGAAGAGCTTGGGTCTGTTATTGGGGATGAAACGGGTTTTGATTTGCGTGACATTGTGACCATTGATCCCAATTCGTATCAGATGAGAGTGGAGGAGCGTGATTCGGGTTCTTATCCGGGTTTACCCGGTTGCTACGTTTTGCACACGTTGAATGCCACGGTGGAGGGTTTGCCAGAGGGTGATTTTTGCACCTATGAGATGGATGAGTATGGGGATTTTGATGAGAAGAAAGTTGCAGACAGGGCTGTCTCTGTTAAGAAGCATTATTGGACATGGGTTAGTGCTGATTCCATGGAAACTTGATATGGAGCTGGAGCTTTTTATATATATATTTTGAGTTTAAGCTGACATTTTTTTTGGAAGTTTTTATGCATATAGGAATATTGATACCAACGGTTTTTGCACTTGTAAAATATTATTGAGGTTTTGGGATAACAAGGTGAGTGTGGGAAAGTTATTATTTTGCATTGTTTGGGGTTTACAGATAGAGAGTGGAGCTGCTACTTGTTGATGTCAATAAATCCCGGGTATAGAATTTGTTGTTTTATTTTTATCTGTAATTATGTTGCATTCTTTTACCTCACTTGTTTACATTGTGGGTTATGCTTGTGAGTTGTGACCATATGGTGAATGGTTGGATAGTGGGATAGGGGATAGCTTCCCATTCCAATTTAAGGATCCCCAAATATGTATTGGCAAAATTTGATTTGGTGGTATGGGTGTGTCATGAAACGAAGTGCTGAATTGGACCTTCTTTCTTGAATGGCAATTATGCAATCTGTTAAGAAGTATTTAAAAATACCGGTGATTGTCTGATAACCTCTGCCAGATAAAAAAATGGCCTGAATCAGATGCTGTTAGCCTGCTACTACCTACTGATGCTTTGAGGCCGTGTTGGTATCGGTGATGGTTCTATCTTCATGAGGACTCAATGCGTTTTATTCCTTGTGCTTCATTATTTGGTGAAATCTTGATTAAAAGTAGGGGATTAGGAAGAAAATTGGAAGACAGCTTCAGTACAAATCTTACATGGTGTAGAGACTATTTTATAAATATTTTTCTTTTCTTTCAAATTCAGTTGGACAGTGAAAAAGGTGGTTAATCAAGTTGAAATTTTTAAATAAAAGCTGAAAACAAGAGGTGCATTCCATAGTCACTGTTCCACCAAGCAATTGCAGTTAGAGGAATTATGAGGGGCATTCTCTAATCCTTACATATATGGTTTTTTTCTTGTCTTATTATATATGAATTTAAACCATTGATTGTCTTTTCCACACATTATGTGGGTTCTTCGTGATGCTTTGGGCTTGTGGAAGACAAATTCATGGACAAGGTGGAGCACAGTTTAGGCGTGACAAGGTGGAGAAGGTTTTTCATTCTATTTGCTGTAGAAATTGGGTTGGGGTTGCTATACATTCCGGTGGATGACAATAGATTGGGTTTAAGTAAGGTAACTAGATCCGATTTCATACACATTTTTCAAAAAAATACTTGTATCTAGACTTATGCACGCTGGGGTAATAATTATAATATAATACTTGTATCTTCTTACTTGTTAGGTACCTAGCATCTAAACTCATCAGCTGCATTTTAATTAACTTGATTATGGTCTCCATTATGAGTTTTTGCAATAATTTAATAAAGCATGAATGCTATTATAATACTACTATTAATGATGAAAACCAATACAAGGGCATTAATCAAATGTAAAACATGTAAATTAAAAGGAAAAACTCTAAATTTAATTTAATTAACAAATTTAAAAATATTTTAAAGTCTAGTTATAAAATATAATAGATATATTATGTAGCTAGGGGTAAAGGTGGATAATATAGCACACCGTACATATACTTAATTTTTTTTGTAAATAATTACTCAACTGACCTCTGGCTCATTTAATGGATAAATACCTTACCTATTTTAACAAGTACCCTTTAGATTTAACAATAAATATCATTTCATCAATAACCCAATTTGAATAGTCACACAAAATGATATTAACAGCTCAAAGAGATTCAAGTTTTTGGTTGCATAGCTTCGTAAAATGAATAAAGGCTTAGCAGAGATGATGGCTTTACAGTGATGAAGCACCTTATATAACTCAACCACGGTCCAAATCAATCGGATTCTCCGTCTTCACTACCTTAGGCTTTTTCAATAGCTCTTTTTTCCCTACCAATTGAATAAACACGCCATTTTTAGAGTCTAATTTCACAAACTCAGGTGAGAAGTCAAGTATAACTCGAGTTGCTTATTGTATAACTTAAGTTGGGATCTTATTCATAAAAATATAGCGATAAAAAATTTATCCACCAACTACTGAATGATATATAAGAACTTGAATACTAAAGGTTCAATTCAATAAAACCCACGTTAATATAATTTCTGAAATTATTCAAAGTGTATTAGGTAAAATTAGTATATAAGTTACTTGAAAATTAAAAAGTTAGCTGAACCTGAAAAATTAGCTAGAAGTTGAAAGCTGATAAACTAGTTGATTGAATTGAAAGTAATCTTAATGGTTGAACTAGCTAATAAATATTAAATGACAGATCAGGGTATAATTAATTATTGAACTAAAACTTTAAATTTGGTAATTATATATTTTAAAATAATTATAAAATATATATTTTCATTTAAAAAAATTTTCATCATCCAAAAAAACTAGGATAGTAGATTTTTAGTTTTATTTATATTTATAAATATATTAATAAAATGAAATGAGAAAATATAAATAAATTTAAATTGTATTTTAACAAATTTATTTTACAAAGACATGATATTTGATGATTTTGTTAAATGAAAATATTTATGGAAAAATAATTATTTTTATTATTATTTTAAATTTTTTGTGCAAGTGACGATTCTTTGAGCATTGAACTTAATATAGAAAGAGATATTAAGTTTCTAAATTTGAACGACTAAAAAGAGAAATTACAAAGGGCTATTAAAGATAAAAACGAGAAAGGTATTTTGGTTAGCAGTTAAAAATAAAAAATATTAAAATAAAAGAGAGAAAAAAATATTAATAAATACCTATTTCAACTACTTTGTAAAATAAAAAAAATATATTAAATAAACTTTAAAGTTGATAAAATAAATTTTTAATTAGCTAAAATCATTACGAAACACTAATCTTACTTGAACTACATCTCAATGTTGAAAATTGATTAGTATATAACTCCATTTAACTTTCTCACCATTTATGACAATTTAACTCTGATTCATCAGAATATTCTATTATTTCCTTCAATTTTACCGATGCTTATAAATAAATGTTGCAAGTATAATTATTAAAACTCCTGCATCTTCACAGTCCAATGTCCGAAAGAGTTGCCCTATGCTTAATCACTAAGTCTATTTCCGAAGTTCTGATTGGTGGGTACGTACCCTTCTCGTTTGCGTTATATTAATAATGGATGAGTAGTAGGGGTTTGGAGTGGAAGACGGTAGAAGCAAGCTGTGTATGTAATAATAATATGCTCATCTTTTTGACAAATGTGTTTCATACCTTCTAAAAGTTAAACGGTATTCAAGCAAAAAGGAGTTGAATTTTCGGGGTTCATCGATAACCAATGCATTGCCTAACATTTGGAAGCGACTTTCATGTACATAAAAAGACATTGCACATCAAATTTTCAAACGTGAAGGATCAAACTAACCCAGCAGCACTTCGAAATTGCTTGTCCAGTTGTCCTTAACCAAAAAATCAACAAGCAATTATTGGGTCAAGTTTTATAGAACTTTAAGTCTCATTTATAAATTTTTTGCACTATAGGTATCCTCCACCAGAAGCTGGTCTTATTTATACTTGCCATTTATACCTAAGTTACATTCTTTCATAATAATCTCCATTTAATGCTTATATATATGAATTTAAACCATTGATTGTCCACACATTATATCGCAAACAAGACTCATGGACTATATCTTATTTGCTTTATAGAACAGTGTATTGCAACGTTTGACATTTGTTGCGCATTACTTTCATTTTCCATCGCAAATTTTGCATAATTGTAACTTATTTTCTGTACATGTTGGCCTATAAATAAGAAGTGATGTAAAAATAATGATGCACTAAAAATGTCACATTCATGGTTTAAATATTGTTCCTTGGAGACTTTATAATGAATAATTTCTCAAGGTAGACGACTTAAAGGTTACTTTTTATAAAGAATTTCTGTTGAGGTAGGTTTCAATGTTGGCTGACTTCGTTTATCAAAGATCCGAAGCAGGATAAGTATTTGTCAAAATGTTTGTTTCTATTCAATGTGGAAGAGGGCTTCCTCTTTTTGAAGCCTGGCATATTTGTATTTGTATCACCCCCTGATTGGACCTTTTGAAATTGGAAAGTTTTAGCTTGCTTTATATATACACACACACAAGTCTATTAAAACAATTGAATGGTGGGCTGAATTGCTTGCTATTGTCAAGTTTCTTTCTTTACCCTGCCACTTTCATGTTAATATCAGTTGCAATTGTAGGGACGGTAGGTAGAGAGATTCTTGGCTTTTTTTATCCTGAAAAAGTTACCTGACTTTTCAATTTTTGTGCCACTACAAAATTATATTAGAAAGAGTGATATGATAAGAGAGACGATATCTGACCTTAAACTATTTACCAAATTAGCTGCTTTAACTTTTGTAGGTTTACACTTCAAGCATATGTTGGGCGGTAAGTCATTAGCTTTCAATAACAATACATATTACAAGTATACAACCACCACCCAAAACTTTTGAATTAATGGGATAAATTTGAGAGGGTCGAGTACAAGTTCTTAACATACTTTAGAAAATATGAATTCTGAAAATGCTGGCATAAGCATAAGTAGCTCCTGGTAATCAATATTCTGGGTTGCTGTAGACAGAATGCGGAAAATCAATGAAGAAAGTGTTCTAACTATCAACTTCCTAGATCCCACAGTTAGCATGTCCTGGTATATTCGTTTGAGACATGCATGGCCAATATCATTTCTTGGGTATTGCTAAAAAAAGACAATAAATATATAAGCTGATTCACGGTTACCAAAAGTTTGATTAAAGTATACCATATATGATTCTTAAAGCCTTTAAGTTAAAGGCAAGGAATTGACATGTAAAATCTGCAGATTCTCCAAAGAAAGCTACCAATTTCCCCCTTTTTTTCTTCATTCTCTCTCTCTTCTTCGAATCTCGTCTACATAATCTTCAATCAAAACATTTTTCATCGTATCCCAAAAACCAACCAAAGAAACAAAGGTGACCCAATATCTACTCATGCATCCACTCCCAAAAGCTACTAGAGATATACCACGAAATCCAACACTCAGCTTCTTTTCATTTTACCCCGTTTACCATAACCTCTACCATCACGTGCAACGCAAGACAAATTTAGATAAATAGTGGGAGAAGAAAGAAAGAGAAAGATAAATGAATCCAAAAGCAAAGAGATAAGATTAACCATCGAACATGCATCCTCTTTTCATGATCACTCACAAATTGTAACTTTTGTCCTGTCATTCATATATTTGATTTACAAATGACACAGTGGCTTCAAAATACGTTTTAGTACAAAGCCAATCAAAATGTGCAAACAAGAAAACTGGAAGAACTCGCTATGATATATGAATAGTAGATCATATATTTAAGTTAGCAACAGTATGATAAGTTTAAATTGTGGTAGAACACTGAGCCCCTTGGTTTGAAGTAAGAGGACCTGCAGGCATAGAGGGTCCAAAGGCCATGATAGTAAAACAATTAACATTGAACCTGTAACGTCCAGAGACCCAAGTTCCCACCTTCCAACGAAGCTTCCCAATAACTTTGAGATTCAAAACTAGTCTTCCAATAGTTTGATCACGACCCACTTCATAACTAAGAGAGGGTGCAACTGGTAACCCATTTCCTACCAAAGATGCTGTTAAGAGATTACTCTCTTCTTGGCCTTGGTAGAAGGGAGGAACTGGGGTATCACCAGTTATCTGTTGGCCCTTGTAGGTTGCATAAACTTGAAACTCATCATAGTAAATGCCAACTTTCTGATTTGGATTTTTGGAGAGAAGAGTGAGTTGGATGGAGGAGTTGAGGCTTGGTCCTGAAAGGTTCAGCTGGTAGATATCAACTTCTTTGAGGGAGAATTGAGGCTTTGCAGGGTGGAGGATGAGCCAGATAAGAAGTATTAGTAATAGGATTGAGGTGAAAAATGCTGAGAAAGCAAAGAAGAGCTTCTTGTAGTTCCTCTCAATTCTCAGTCCTTGCTTGCTAGCACAGTCCTTCGGAGATTTTATTTCGATTTTAGACATTTGTAAAAGAGAGAGAGAGAGAGAGAGAGAGAGTTGAAACTTGAAAAGAGGGATGCTTACAAGGTTAAGGAAGAGGGGTAGGGTGGTTTTATAAAGAGAGCAAAAAGCAATAATCATTATGCCTGGTAGCATGCTTTTGACCGGTAGCACTAGGTCCCCTTTGAGGTGATTATTGATTAAGTATATAATTATGAGAGATTAAAGTGGTAAACTTCTGGAAAATTGCTTTATATATACCTAGACATTCTAATTCATTAATTCTCAGTTAAATTCATTAAAAATTATAAAAATTACGTGGGACTCATTCTTTCATGTCTGATTTAATATTTTTTTATCTTTTATAATTTTTAATAAATTTTAATCAGTAACTAAAAAGATTATTAAAAGTGTGTTCTTAGCCTGTCTTACAGGAAAATCCAAGCATCCTAAAGATGCACACGCGTCCTGTTAGTATGATAAATTAAGCGGTAAACTCTGCTGAAAAATTACAAAGTTTCAGGCTTCTGAATCATACACTTGTTCACCTTTTCAAAAGGATAATATTGGCATTCAAATATACTTATCGGTACGTAATTCGTATACTCTTCTTCTTTTAGGTATCGAGAAAAAAGTGAAAAACGCATATTCTAATGCCTATTTTGGTTTAATTTTTCCATTAAGGAAAGTGTATTAGTGAAAGAATGTAACAAACAAGAAAACCCATAAAAGAGAAGGAAAACGTCCCTTGAACATGTATGCACTTTGGGACACATAGAAAGGCCTATTTTAAACGTGTAATTTGGTTTACGGGTAATTAGGTGCACCTGAAAGGCATATGTATATACTTTTAAATAAAAATCTTTTACAAGGAATTGTGGAGCGAAGTTTCAGTGGCACAAATCAAGCTTTAACCTTTTTGCTGTGAAAACAAATTCCCCCGTTTATATGTTCGTAGTTCGAAGGTTAACAGCAACATAAAGTTCACACATGAACTGTATAAAGGCTATAATGTAACCTAGTAATGTAATAGATATTAACGATTGTTTCCACAGTACTTCCTTTCTTTAAATGCTTCGGTGGCTTTCACACTTTTCTTTATGATGAGCTGATTGGGACTGCCATACAATGCTAAGGACCAAATTTGTGGCAATCTCTGTCCCCAATCCAACCTGTTCTTTTTGGAGCAATTGGGTCCGTAGAAGCTTACTGCAAGTGAAAAAAAATCTATTTCATATACAACTTTGTTTGAGCATTATTATTTTTAGCCAAAAAATAAAGTGCCAATCGAATTGAACTCGCAACCTACTCGTAATAATTCGTATACTTAGGTACAAGACTAAGGAAAAGCCAACATAGCATGGTAAAGACAAAATCAATTAGCCGCATGAAGTGCACGTCATTGCTGGTGATTGAACAGCTGTAATAAGAGAAGCGAGACACATGGCACACAAGGTAGACCATAATAGTATATATTATTATATAATATGATATATGGGGGTAGGGTAACTCTTTTAAGTTATAATGGGTCATTAGGAAAGAAAAGCAAAAGCAACACTTTTAAAAGAGCCGTAGAAGAGAGATGCTAAATAGTCTTCGTTCATGATTGAAGATAGGGTGCTAATGGCCTCTCCCTTGTGCCCATTGGAAACTATATCTTAGCCGTATAGTGAGAGATGTATCCTTCAGAGAAATTATTGAGACTAGTGGATGTGATTTTATGCTTCTGCGTGTGTTGTTTCATTTCATAATAAAAGAAAACTTGGCCGTAAATGTGTTAAGTTTTGCTTTTTAAGTTGAGAAAAGGTCCCACTCCCGAGATGGTTTTCTAGTTTAGTTGATATGAATAGTCTTTAAAGTATTGATACTTTTTTAAACACTTGATTAACCAGATAAATAATTAATTAAGTAAAGGATTACCGTGTGAAGTTCGTCATACATGTCAATGCATGGTGATGGTGGACCATTTTATTACTTTAATTTTCGTTCATTTGCCATCATAGGACCCTTCTAGTTGGAGTTTGGATATATGGCACTCATAGAAGAGACGTTTGACATTAAAAGTTCCTTTTTCAGTTATTATTGTGTATTGATCCCTTCAATCAAGAGAAGTTGATGACCCCATCAAAGTGGTTTTGCCTCTTCTCATTTTTGTTTCTCAATTTCTTTTGTTTATTTTATGTCTTTGCTCATGGACCATAAACACTCCCAATTTTGTTCATAAAATACAACTTTTTTCTAATTATTCAAAACTTTAATTTGAGACCTCACTAATTGAAAACGATTTGTTCCGTATACAAACATAATGATTGATTATGTTGGTGCTTTGAAAACTGTTTATTGAGTGAAGATCCCTAGCAATCAAACAAACCCAAGAAAGCAACGAAATTGGCTAAGCATTAAGCAAAGTGAACAATGTTGAAATTTGGTTGTTGGGAAGTACAAGCGAGGAAAAGGGGATGGTGGGGGACTGAATTGTTTAAACTTTGGACAACCTTTGGCATTATTATTTCCAGAATTCCGAAGGGTCCCCTGGTTTTGGCTACTAGCATTTGTCCATTTACGTTGTATGTATTCTGTCTACGTTTCTTCTCAAATTTTGTCCACAAACTTAAGGGAGAATGGAGATGCTTAATGCTTTATTGCTGCGATCAATTCTTGAACGCAAGTATCACTTCACAATTTTCAACTATGCAATTCAAAATTTCAGGTGATAAGGATCCCCAAACTCGGATATTAGCGTGAGAAAAGGAATTGTTAGAGCTGCCAAAGTGATCTTTGATCAGTGGGATAACTCGGCCCATTTTTAGTTTTTAGTGAGTTAGATTATTAAAAAATTGACCCCTATATCATTCGAATTTTTTTAACCTACACCATGTCAACCCATTAACAAACACAGATCAACTCGTAATGAGCCAAGGTTAACTGAGGAGTTTTAAATTTAATTTATGATTAATAATTTAAATTTAAAAAAAATTTATAATTACATCTTAAATTAATTATTAATCTCTAAAATTAATCTCCTTTCCTTTTTATTCTTACTCATTTTTATTGTGTATTGCACTTTACTTTATACTGTAACTTTATCAACTTGTGCGATTAGAGATTTATATGACTTATACAACTTGTGTGACTAGATTTACGTGACATTGATGACCTATGAACTAATTATATATTTTTAAGATTTATTTTAGTTTTTTATTAAATTTTTTTTAATATAATAAACAATTAACCTGTGAGCTAATTCACCAAATTAATGAGTTGAGTAAAGATGCAATTTTATAAACTTACTATAAAGTAGGTTAGTTGAGTTAGCTAACTATTAAGTTTAACATGTAGTGAGTCAATCTAAATGAGTCAGATTAATTCATTTTCACTATATATATATATATATATATATATATATATATATATATATAATCATTTTAAAATAAATCCCAAAGCTACCTATTAGAAAAAAAATTAGTACTAAGGTTTTGTGGTTTCTTCAAGAATATTTTTCTTAAAATTTTTCAAGCATAATTTTATTAATAAGAATACTTTCACCGAAATGTGATTAAACTACTCTCTCTTCATCTAGTTTTAAAAAATATACTTTTTTTCCTAAGAAATAAATCTGCATTACATTTTAATTTATTTTAGCTTAATTAGATTTTTTAGAATATTTCTTTCCCACGATGGTTTTCAACACAATTGGTTATAAACCTATATTATCAATTTTGTAAGTTTAAAAATAAAACATAAAGATAAATAAAATTTCAAAACTAACAAAAGTGCTTCAACTTTTATTTTCAATCTTTTAAAGGTATAAAATCAATAATAATATTTAAAATAAGTTGTCAATAACATTAAAAATAAAACTTTATTCATAGTTGTTTTGATTTACACGAAAAAGTTAGTCACAAACTCCAAAATAACTTGGTTTAGAAAGGTAGATGGCGTCCTGATATCATGCAACTTCCAATGGAAATCATCTTACTTTTCTTTTCATTTCTCAATTCTTCTTTTATGGGGAAGGAATATTATATGGTTAGTGGAAGTGGGACAGGAATCACTTTCGAGAAACTCTTTCAAATGCACTCTTTAAGAAAAGTTTGCTTGAGAAACCTGCAACCACCTTGGGTAAACTGAAAATAGAAAGGTAATAATTTTGAACAAAATATAGAAGTTCAACTGGTTGTTATGGTAAAAAATCAAGATGTTATGGTATTTAATTAAGAAGCTCCAACATGATCAATTAGTGAGTCGAATCCTTGTAAGTAAACAACTCCTTAAAATAAATAAATAAATAATGTGGCAGGAAGATCCCTATAAAACTGTATAAAATTACAATGATATATTACACAAGGTATATTATATATCATGATCTAGAGAAAAAACGCAAATGAGAAAAAACGGTTTTAGGAAGCATATACAGATCAAGTGTTTTAGGTATTTAAAGATTGAGGAAAACAAAATTTGGAAGAACTATACTAACAACTCATGCTCTCCTCTTCAGTGAGTCAGAAACCTGTGCATGATCTTATTCTTTGCCATCTTTTTCTGCAACAAGAGGATCAGCATGCACTTGACGAACAAATTGTCCTTTCACTCTTGGACGCTGCTCTGCTAGTTTCTTTCTGCTCTCATATCGAACCTATTAAAAAGGATAACAAAAAGTCAGCATCTTTTGGAAACAATGGTAGTAATGCTTAATACAAGGACCAAAGGTTATGCTTATAGTGATGAACCTTCTTCTCATAGCATCTCTCTTTCCTTTTCAAGCGGAACTTGTTCAGAGCTGCTTCTCTTTGGATTGATCGATGAGAGTTTCCGTTGTTTGTGAGGTCTCCATTCTTACCTTCTGAAGCTGCCCTGACAGTGGCAACTTGATCAACATTGCTATTACTGCCACAATTGCTTCCATAACCGATGCTGTTAAGATGGCTTGCATTTCCATTGCAGAAACTACTAGATACACTTTGATCAGTTGCTGGAGATATGTGTCCTCGCTCCTCTCCATGTTCTGATTTGTGTTCATGCGTGTACACAACGTGGTTTGTGGTGCTGTTTCCATTTGGGCCGCGAGGTTCATAAAGCTGCTCTGAACTGCTCTCTTTCATATTTGACTGATAAAATGTATTCACTTGAAAGTTTGGTTCAAGGATCACAACTGGACTTGGACTTGGCATTGATGGTGGACCAGACTGTGTATGAAACACTGGAGGAAGTACAGAACCATAGGCTGTACGTAGATCGTTGAACCTCACACCTTTTACTGGAATTGGGAATGAATGCCCTTGATGGGAGTGTGAGGTTGCAAGTTCAGATTCTTTTGATTGGACTGTGGTTGGAGACAAGATACATCGTTGCGTGCTAGGCGTTGAACTATCAGAATTGCAGCCAGTGGCAATATGAGAGATATTTTTCTCACCATTTGTTCTTTGTTCTTTCTGTTGGTCGGAGAAGTTAATTAACACTGCAGGAGGCGAGCCTTGTGATGGCTTGTTAGTATACCTGCAGGAAATTCCATTTTAATGATTAGCTTCTTCCCCTTTCTAAAGAAGAAACACATCAAACTTATACGCCTTGAATTCCTTCATGGTAGGTTAATAAAATAAGGAAAATGTGCCACGTTTATAAGCAACCGACTGATTTCTACAAGTTTATGAGCATTGGAAGTAACTTCCAAAAGATTTTAAAATCTGAGAGGAAAAAGTAAGAATGAAAAGGGAGTTTAGCAGATACCGCTTGAAAGCTGATGCATTCGAATGCATGAGGGTGTGCCTTTCTTCAGTGGGTTCATTCTCAAAACTGCTGGGATGAGATCTTCTCAGGGAAAGATCCAACTGAGGAGAAAAGTCCAACATTCCTGTGCAATTAACTGAGGGGTTTTTGAGACTGCAGTTTGGATGAGTATGAAATGCTCCAATCAAGTCAATAGCTTCCCTAGAAGAGTTAATTTGAACATAGTGATTGTCATGAGCCTCACCACTGATGCTAGCACTCCCAAAATGCTCTGGATCACCATCCTTGCCATTAGTTGTGCTTGTCTCACCATTTTTGTGGATACCTACAGTTAATTCTACAAAAATAAAAGTTGCTCAATTTTCAGATATTCTTCCTTGTCAAGCATAACAAAAGATTATTACAGAAAGGGGAAGAAATTTACCTCCAGCATTACTGTTATGCCTCATCAATGTCTGGCCTAAACGAATACATGTTTCGACCTCCTGTGTCTCTGTTCCATTTGGATATGCTTCCCCGGATTTCAACAGAGAAAATTCCTGCACCTTATCGACCGGGCCACTCTCAGCTTCCAAGTCAGGCTTTGTACAAGAGCTCTGAAACAGACAGCAAACAACCAGTCTCTATATGAAAACTTCATCTAGCCAATCCAAACTGAAAGCAATTTTCTTTAAGATACATTAAGCATTTGGAGTACACTAAGACTTGATTAATCTAGATTCTGGAGGGCTGTTGAGATACCAAACGTTGATAAATTCGATAGTATTGCAAAGAAGTTGAAAAGAAAATTTACATAAGAAATAACCGGTGGGCAATTTCAGACAAGTATATGCTAGAATTTCCAAACTGAACAAAGATTAGCAAGCAAAACAGTCAACCATGGAGACTGTAAAGAATGCAGTAGCATATTATCCTAGCATCTGAAGAAAAGTTTTTCATTTGCACCAGCAACTAGAAATGGAGTGACAATTAGACAAATCTATCTAAACCCCACAGTCTGGTTACTACATACTAACTGTACTTGACTGTGTCTGTTCTTTGTCCTTTGCCACAAATGTCTTCAAATAACAGCAATAATATAAAAATAATGTCTTGATCTAGGAAACTAACCTGCGCATCACTTCCTTTCTCAATCAATTCCTTATTTCTCTGAATGCATGCGGCATCGCCACTTGAACGATTACTAGCAGCATTGTTTTCAGCAGTGGCTTCAACCTTCTGCTGAGCAACACTCTCGTCTTGAGGGCCATTGACGCCCATGGTTGACTGACAGAGAAGGTAAACAATAAATTATATTTTCAACCAGTTGTCAATAACATTTGATCGGACCATTTAAGAGTAATAGTTAAAAAAAAACTGAAAAATGAGTGAGTAGAAGTCTTACGGATTGTCTTCTCCAAACATGTTGCCACAAATTCCTCAGTTCATTTTTTCTAATGGGCTTAACAAGATAATCAGCGGCACCTCTCAGCATGCATCTGTATACCGTGCTAATTGAATCTTGTGAGGACATCACTGGAAAATCATTAAAAAAAAATGCAGAACAATTAATTAAAGCATTAGCAAAGTGGGAAAATTCAGTAACAGTTAAAAGATTTATCTTTGGTATCATACTTATGACAGGGATGTTTTTGCAAATATCATGCTCCATAATTAATGTGAGAAGCGCATAGCCAGATATGGATGGCAAATCAACTTCTGTCAATATTAGATCAACATTGTGTGGTCTTCCCTTGAGTAACTCCCATGCCTTCAGGCCATCAGGAACAGCAGCCACTGCTCACAACAGATGAGCGAAGTTATTTTGAAGATCTAAGAGCATATCATGAGTTTTTCAAATTACAAGCTTCTCTTTATGGCAAATAAACATTGCAAATAATTGCATCAACTATCATGTTTAAGCCTGTAGTTTCCAGACTACTGAGACTAACACTAAATAAAGGAAGTTGAAAGGAGCCATTAGTTCCTCAGACTTCCATAGAACTCAGATCCCCATCACATAATAGATAATTTTATTTCATTTCTCATAAGGAAAAACCTACTAAGCAACATCAAAAACAAAAATGCCTGCGTTTTGTGCACATAAATTTTCTTTTTCCTTTTCCTTCCCTTAAAATTTTTTATATTAGATCCTTATGAGCTTTGAGGCTGCTGGTGCACTTTGTATTGCCAAAGATCGTACGTCAATTCTTTCTTAAATCAAATTTGTATTCAGAAGACTTTGATTTACTGCAACAATCACGCCTTTTTCTCATTAGGTGAAGTTGCTACATGGATCAAACACCATCATACTCTGTTGACTTTGATTTACTAATAGCTTGTATAACATTAATTTAGACCTAAAATTAACACTACCGGTCAATTTGATCCTTGGTGCTACAAAAATAAATTTGGTCCCTAAAGTGGGTAGCACTAGGAATTTGGTCCTTAGCATCTCCAAATCAATCAATTTAGTACACGAATTAGAGAACTATCATTGATTTGGTCCCTGATTTTGACAACCCGAGTCAATTTGGTTATAACATTAGGGACCAAATGGAGTGATGTGTATCAAAATCAAGGACTAAACTGACTTATGTGCACCAAGTAAGGTACCAAAATACCTTACAGTTACCAAAGTTGAAAGACTAAATTAACGGACCCTAAAATGACAAAAAGTTAAAATTTTATCAAGGACTAAAATTTCTTTTACGTAATTCACAGGCATGACTAGCGATTGTAATTTCAAGGACCGATTTGATGTTTTGCTTCCTTATTTTCTTCTTTTCATTGGCTCTGGTCAATACTATTGAAGACTTAGACCGCAAAAAACACATAGCAATGTTTACATTTAATCAAATTCACGGTTTCAGCCCTGAAAATCGGAAGGATTAAAGAAGGGCGAAAAAAATAACAGCAATCAGACCTACGTGCTTACATGACAGTAAAGCAATAGAGCACGCAAGCCATAAAAGGGAAAACTGAGCAGAGAGAGACCAACATAATGCGTACCGAAAGATCAGAGAGTTAAAAAAAAAAAAAAAAAAACACAGACACACACAGAGAGTTTTAATCTAGACGATAAAAGAAACAAGAAAGTACCCATACTCAGATGGAGTTGAATGAACAAAAACAAACACAAACCCGAATTGAGAAACGAGGATTGAAGAAGACCCGAAACGGAAAAGAAAAATCCTCTGGAAAAGCACGAAATTAAAAAAGAAAAAAAGAAATTACTGACCTTTGTAACTGCATTTCCTGAGAAGCGCAGCTATAATCTGGCGAGTGGAATCATCAGCTTCAACCAAGAGCACCCTCAGAATCATCCTGGGCAAGAACTTCTCCCACCTCATCAAGCCCTTCAATTCACCTTTGCTCCCACTTAAACTCTCTTCTTCCGTGTGCTTCTCTTGGAGTACTTCCACCTCCTCTTCCACTCTGAGTAACTTGTCTCCACTCGTCACCACCTCCCCCATATTCCAATGGAATCGGAATCGCCGTATAGCATGAGAATCTTCCCAGGTGGTTCGCGAAAACCGAGCACAGAAAATTAGATATGTTTGTAACCAAATTTGGAGGGTAAAAAAGAGAGCAACAAAAGAAAAAGGCAACGTATGTAAGGATGGATGGACACCGTTAAGTTTAACAGCGAGCACATCGAAGGGTGCAGAAGGAGACAGCAAAGTTAAGCTGGTTCTGATCCTACGGCTGGCGAAAATATCCACCTTTGTGAAAATATCTAGAGAGTCGGAAAGGTGGCCCACATGGTCCACGTCATCAATCAGATCTGATTTTGGACCAAAAATCTAAAGCCAAGAACCCATTGGCTTCTCGTGGTTGGTGCTGGTGGTGGATATTATTTCACCCTTCTTTTTTTATTATTTTCTTTTCTTTGGTTCTTACTTCGCTTCCGTTCCCATCCAAATCCAAAATATCAAAAAATATATGTGTGTGTGTGTGTGCGCATTTGGATATTTTTTCTGTGGGACAATTGGCGCCTCGTCGGCCCCACCTCGAGAAAGATATTAAGATTTAAACCCACTCGCTTAAGATATTTTTTAGTGCTTTGAAGCTGCCCATGTATCACATGGACGACAGCCAGACACGTGGCTCCCTTCTAGGGGATCTCTCGTTTTGTGGCTTTGAAGTTGTCAAACGCTATCTACGAGAAGGCCAGTTCCTCACGCTTCCACCGTTTCACCTGTTCGCTACTCGCTCCTTCGTTGGATGGTATCTGTATCTGTGCTTCAGACATTCACCATTTTGACCTTTCGACACAGAGAGTGCGTGCTCACTGCTCACCCACTGAGCGTGGGGTGACGTTAAATAAACCTAGGCACACTTTTAGATATCCTATTTGTTGTCATCCCACACCCTTCTTATCCCCTTATTAACTAAACTATTTTATTTCTCTTCTCATATCCCCTAACTACTCTTTAAATAAATACTATTTTCCGATGCAGGGTTAGAAGGAGGAGATTTTTTCTCTTGGTTCGTTGAAACCCATATTCTAAAACAAAATAGACAACTGTCATAACATGAGACACATAGTCTACCTTTGTTTATTTTTTATTAACAATACTATCACTTTAAATTCCTGTTCTTTATAATTTAAATTCTCCTTAAATTCGCTTTTTAACTTACAATTTTATAAGCTTAGAAGACTATGTCCCTACAATAAAGATAGCCATATGCCGTATGCAAAATATTTGAGGTCCCCCTTTGCTGTGTGTATTAAATGAATGACAGCATTCTGATTATATTTTTCAATAGGTAGAATTCAATACTAAGGCCTTTTTGACATAAAGATATTGGAAACAACAAAAAAAGGAGAAAACTAACGATGAGAACATATTTTAAAATTTTATTGTTCTAAAACTTAATATTAGTTTTTATAACTTTTCCTTAATTAATATTATATATAATTACTTCAAATAAATATTATAATTTTTCTCTTATTTATTTATTTTTTCTTTACATATCAAATAGGAAGTTTGTAAACAAAATATACAGCACAGCAATAAAATAAACATAGTTTAAATCAAAAAATAAAATTATATATTATTTCAAAACTTTAATCAAGAAATAATAAAACAAATAGCGTTTGTATACTTTTAATTCAAATATTTTAATACTCTGTCCATTTAAAATTAAGTACCATTACTTTACTAATTGAAACATTTATTATTTTCCTTAATATTTGTGAGAAAAAAAAATTGAAATGGAGAGGGTATTAGGATACTTAATTATTCCTTTCATTTTATATTAAGTGATCTTTTAAGATTTAGATGAAGCATTTATATGTTTATTCAAATTCTGCCTCAAGTAAATAATAAATGTAATGGTTTTTAGACTTTCTATATATGGGTTGATTTTTCGGCAAACAAGTAAAATAAATGATAAAAATACTTTTAGCAGAATTATTTTGTTAGCTTTATTTATAATTTTCTTTAATCTTTGTAAAAGAAAACTTAAACACCAGTTAAATTGAAATGGATGGAGTATTTAATTTATATTCATTTATCACTCAAATCATATTTATACATACAGTAACAACAACAAAAAAACATGAGTAAAATAATACAACGGTAATCAACATAATTCAATAAATTTATAGGTTTCCAAAATTTAAGGAATCATTTGATTTGAACGGAAATATTTTTGCCCTAAGGATTTAGAGAAATAGCTTTGATTTAAGTGGCATAGTTATTTGAAGAGCAGTTGATAGAATAGGTTTTGGGTTGAGGAAAGAGATAAAGCAAAATCCAAGTGTGATGAGATTAGAAAAAGTTTAATATGTGTGGCAGTAACACGATCTGAGTACATTTATAATGAATATTAAATGGTGAGGTTAGTAATGAAAATAACTTATAATGGTGTAGTGCCCGACAAGGGAAAAGAAAACGTTAGTTCTATGCAATCTACATTGGGTAAGCAGGTATAGAAAGGGCACGTGCATGAGAGCATGTGCAAATGGCGATGAACCATTTAAATTTGGCCTCAACTTTTTTATTGCAAGCTACGATGAAAGCAACAGGACTGAATGCAATGTTGCAATGCTCATCAAATACTTACACAACTAAGGTAAGGACGGGACCGCTTCTGACCCTCCCACCATACCAAATTCCTTTTCCTTGGAGCTTTTCATGGTGGAACCATCATCATATTTCAGCCTCATTTCAATATTATATTTCCCTTCTTTTTCTTTTTCACTAATCAAACTACATATTCCTTTTGTATGATTTACTGATGGATAAAAATTATTTCAATTATATTGTTATGTCTCTAATTGATAGACTCGGTATGAAAACACGAAATTAAGGAAATAGAACAAGTAATCAAAGATATCAAACTTGATAGGGGAGCATAACTATAGGAAAAATCAATTATAATTAACTAATTAAAACCTAGCGTAATTACTTGTAGGTCTTGGTTGTCTTGTTTACTTGCGCAAGTTTCTATGCCTAAAATCCATCGTAATTATAGTTTGAGATGCTAGTTGATATATATACGTGATTCTCTCCTTGGGGCCTAAAGCTTGTGGAAGCAAAATATTAGAACACTAATATATCTCATCATCATGAATGTAAGCTTTATTTTTTTTTTAACTATAAAATTTCTAATTTTCTTGAGTTAAGAGATGAAAAATTTCAACTTAAATTGTATATAAGTTTGGATTTCATTTTATCATTGATTTCAATTGATTGTTTATTTTATTTTTATTGTTTCTATGAATTGACCACTCATAACGTTAGGCCTTTATTTACATAAAATAAATTATAGCAATATAACATGATTAAAGATAATTTAAAGATAATTACTAATTATGATATCTCAATAATTATAAAACATTACGCTTGTCTTAGTGTCTCTAATTTAGAAAGAAAAATGATTTATTAAGGATTTAAACTTTGACCACTTTAATATTTGTTCTTCAATATTCTTTTAAGAGTTGAATTTATACGAATGTTAATTGTTTAAATAAAGCTTTAAAGGAATCAAAGCTTAAAACTATTTGCAAATTAAAATTTAAGCAAGAGATAACCTTACTTTATCTTAGCTTCAATAATTATAATCGAAATCTTCATTTTAAACGCCAGTCCAAATCATGATAAATTAAGTAGTTAATATTTAGGGTATAAATTCTTTAAAGAGATATTTCATTTACTTTATATTGCTTAATAAAAACTAATTCACTTGTCATTACCGATTATTTTTTTTATTATAATGTATTATATTATTAGTATAGATTCACACCATTTATATTAACAATTTAATATTTATCAAACAAAAAACTTTATCAAAGAAAACTAATTTAACACCAAACTAATAATTTTCTCGAAGTCAGTCGTATGGCCCTTCATTAAATATCAACACGGTACGCATTAAAAACAATATACATGGGTTGAAGTAATATTTGCAAGAGAAAATCTGAATTAAATATCAACAAAAATAAAAAATAAATTTAAATTTCAAAGATAATGAAGTTGTAAACTATAACAATATCGATATTTAGTAATTTCTAAATAAATAAATGATAAAATTTTAAACATATATTGTAATTGATTTCTACAAATTAACAAAATCTATAATGAATAAAATGGGAAAGAATCTAGAATTTTCATCTAAAAGATTCACATTTAAAAAAAAAAAAAGTAATAGTGAAATTAATATATCAATTTGGGGACAAAATATACTCTGAGGTTTTGACAGCCACCAAATTACACTTAAACTATCATAATTGTTATTTGATTGCATAAACAACACCTCCTCCTCAAATCAGTTGAGTTACTTATGCTGCACAATTTGAATTGTCAACTGAGTTTGAAATTATGCAATACGCTCATATTTTTGGTTCCCTCATTTTCTTTCTTTTTTCTTTACAAGGCCAATTATTAAATTTTCTTAAAAATTACACAATAAGTAAAATATAAAAGAATTAATTAAGAATATTATTATTTAAATACATACTTTTTATTATAATTGATCTATCTCGCTTTCTATACATCCATATGATGTGATATGTCCACCAAGCACGCACCATGGATTTCTGTGAAAGGATTTAAAGATGCTAAGTATCGCGTGTCTACTTTATACTCATCCACTTAAACTCCAAGTTTTAACTAGTTATATTTATATTTTTTATAAATTTTAATTAAAATCTCAATATTTTATTAATAAAAATATAATAAATTACTTATTCTGATCTCAAATATAATAAAAATTAATTAAATTATTTTTCCTAAAAAAATTAGTTAATATTTTAATTTTATTTTAAAAATACACTTATTTTTAATGTGTCTTTCATGATATTTATTATATAAAAAAATAAATTACTTAGTAAATTATTATTAGAATTAAATAATATTAATTAATGATTTAATTTTTTTATATTAAATATTAAATGTAAAAAATAATTTGTAATAATAAAATTAAATTTTGGAAAATCATTTTAAGTAAATTTTTCACCTTAAAAGTTATATAAAATTATTAATCTCATATATTAATAATAAAAATTTATTAAAAACAAATTTTAAATAAATAAAATGTAAAATTAATTAAAAATTAATTATATTTTAGAACACTGTATCTAAATTTAAATTTGTATGAATTAATAAAAATATATCAATATTTAAACAAAAATAAAAATATGTAAAATATAATAAAAATTTTAATTTTATTAAATATTCAATATTTTTTTGAAATTTAAATAAATGAACGATATATTATATTTTTATAAATTGTGAGATAAAATTATTAAATAATAAAATATAAGGATGAAAAGTGGAATAAAATAATAAAAGTAAGACCATTATTCACATATATATATATATCACTAAAGTTTTAATGAGACTTTATTTTAATTTATTTTTTATGGCAATTTGATCGATAATGTAATTTTGTTATTTTAATGTAATAATGACATTAATTTTGTTGGTAAAAATGTTGACCCGTATCTAACATTCCTACTTACAAAATTTAAAAGAGGGGCACTTTACGAACTATATTTTTTACGTGCAAAAGTACACTTATTATTATTATTATGGAAATAAATTATAAAAATAATCCATAAATATATGAAAAATGTTAGATAAATTGTACGGAAACTTTATTCATACTGTGTTAATTTTTCCGTTATCTTAAATTGTTAAATTAAATCTATGTTCATTTTTTAAAAAATAATATTTGTGAAGATCCTTTTTTGTCATTTAGTGCTTACATATCATATCTTTGCACTTTACCCAAAGGCACTATCCTGCACGTCCCATTCTACGCACATAACACATTAATTTGGTACCTCTTCGTCTCTTTTTCATGTTCATTTTCAAAACACAAGGATATTGTGTGATTAGTATGTTCAATTCTCATCACAAAAGTTTTATGTCTTCATAGGTTTTTTCATAACTTTTTCAAC